ATCTTCATGCAACCTAACTAAATTTGGAAATGGATTGTCGGCTGATTGGGTACGACATAAATTGGAAGCCGGTCAACTAATCATGAAGGTGATAAATTTTTGTAACCAGGCGGGATTGAACCCTAAACCTTCTCCTAGTGACCTATGGAGCATTACCACTGTGCTATAGACCCATAGGTCTTAATTTATTTATTTTTTTTAAGTACTTAATAAAAATATATAAAATAAAATTTCACTATAAATTATTTAATATAAAAAAATTCAAGAGTACCTTTAAAACCTGAAATACTTAAATTCATAATATTTAAAATTCATTTTAAAAATTGTAACTAATTTATAAATTATAAAATTATAAGATATTCTGGAGTTTTGTTATTTTAAGTAATTTATAGTGAAATTTCATTTCATATATTTTTTATTAAGAATTTAATAATAATAAATCAACTTAATTTTTTAAAATTTCATAAAACTAATCAAATCAAATTTAAAATTTTATAATTCTTATATACATATATAATCTTTTATTAAGAAATTTTTTTTTGAAAAAAATTTTAGGGATCTTTAAAAATCTTTAAAAACTTTTAAAATCCTTCAAAAACCTTCAAAATTTTACTTTGAAATAGATATTATATAATATAAAATGTTTTAATTAATTTCAAGTATTTTATAAAAAAATCAAATTGATTTATTTTTCTTAAGTGCTTAATAAAAAATATGCAAAACAATATTTTGCTATAAGTTACTGATAATAAAAAAGCTTCAGAATATTCTAAAAACCTGTAATTCTAAAATTTGTAATATTTAAAATATATTTTAAAAACTGTTACTAATTTAAAAATTCCGAAATTTCAAAATAATTTGAAGTTTTTTTATCTTAAATAACTTATAATTAAATTTTGTTTTGCATATTTTTTATTAAATATGGTGCACACGGCTTAGTTACAACCAATACTTTAAAACCCTAAGGTTTGTACAAATATATTCTAATTACAAAAAAAAAATGCATTATTCTATAGCTTTTGTAACATGCTATTAAACAGTAAAAATTTTATTTCAGTTTTATATTGTATCAATTAAACAGTAATGATTCAAACTTGAGGTATTTAAGTATAATTTATAAAAAAAAACTTAAATTTCAGCAGTCTACATTATATAATTTTATATAATAAAAAATTGACAATTTTATAAATTGCCGAATTCTGTTAATATCCTTTCAGGTACTCATCGATGTGAGTGGTACTTTTTTGCAGCAAAGATTGCTGTCTTTTCAAAAAGACCTAACTCATATGCACTTATGTAACAATTGGCACGGCGAACAAAGTGGTAGATTTTGACAAGGCTAACAGATTCAAGTACATGCGGAACTGTTTTCTTGAGTTCTTTAAAGGTATAATCGCAGTTTTGATGGCAATATCGCTTTGCCTTATCTCAGAATGGTTCGATAAAATTCAGCTCATAGTGAAACTTCAGATAGAAGATGCACATATGGCCATATGCTTCAATAATCTCTTGTAAATGAATCTTTTGAATCATGAAGTCTGGTTGTAATGCAAGAATACGTGTTGCACAACATTTCAATCTCTCAGGATCTAGGATTCGTTGTGTATATGAGTTACATTGTCTAAGTAAGCTATCAATCCACAAGCCATGCTCCTGGAGAACTTGTCTAATACCTTTAGGCTTTATTAAACCATTAGTATTCACAAAGGTCATAATATGATGTGAACCATCTGACATTTTGCTATTGCACAGAAATGGCTGTTTACTACCACCCTTTATATTTATATAAGAAACTATCAAAACATCATTAGTATATGCATTATGATTATTACTATTGTCAAACATGAAAAGTGCAACCTTATTAGAATGGATTTGCTTAAAAATCAGAATTGCATTTTCCATAATCCTGATTTACGACATCTTGGTTTTTCCACTAGCTATTATGATTCATACTTAGGTGGATAGCAACACAAGCCTCAGTATAAGCAAGCTGTTGATTATTAGTCAGCAAATTATTTGCTATATATTTCTTTTATAAGAGTTGGAGTCGTCCAATAGATTCGCAAATAAAGTTACTAATGTGAATATTAAGTCCTTGCGACTTGTGACGAAGCTGGCTTTCATTGGTAGGTCCTATATATGTGGTGTAAATTATTTTGCTGTTGACTCAATTCCCAAAATCCTCAAAAATAATTGCGTCATGACTCAATTATTTATATGTTTTAATGGTGACTCAATTAATTGCATCAAATAATTGCGTCAATTGCGTCAAGGATCTACAAATTTCAGCAACATGTATAGTAGGTCCTCATGTTTTAATAACACCATTGTTCACATAAAAAATAGACTTATTGTGAGTAATGGGAATGATTTCTAAGATGCCTGGTGGAAGTGTCAATTGAATAACTTGATCCATATTATTACTCTCGTAAACTGCTATTCAATATTGTAATGCTGTGATTTGTTGAAGAAACTCTATTCAGTAAGCAACCATATCTTCTCGTTCATAGCCATCAAAATAAACATCATTAGAATAATCTTTATATTTCCAACTATACATGTGGCATAAATTATTTTGCTGTTGACTCAATTCCCAAAATCCTCAAAAATAATTGTATCATGACTCAATTATTTATATGTTTTAATAGTGACTCAATTAATTGCATCAAATAATTGCGTCAATTGCATCAAGGATCTACGAATTTCAGCAACATGTATATTCCCAACCAAGTTTGCATAACTATACACAGGCACTAGTTTCTGAGATGGTTTTTATTTTTTTAATATCGAGAATAGGAATTATATCTTCTTCTATAAACTTGATAAATTCATGTATGATAAGTATGAACTTGTTTGTCCGAAGATACTGAATCACATTAAGTTTGAAGCTTCATTAAGCAGAAGTGACTGGATTTTGGCATGGTGGCCATACTGTGAGATCACAAGCTTACCCTTAGAAAGCCACTGATTTGCTTATAAACAAATGAGGCATATATAATGTGTATCTTTATCAAGACTACATGCAAGAAGATCACTGGCAGAAAGCTTAGAAAATCCTTAGTCTTTGATAAAATGAAAAAAATGATATATTGTATAAAGCCTCATATCTACATTCTTTGAATTTTTAAATAATATGTCCAATATTTTTGATGTAAATTTAATATTATTATTATTAACTTCGTCTACTTCATCTATATCATTAAATGGGGAAACTTAATTATCATCAGTTTGGTTTTCTATTTTAATCCAGTTCGTAAGATTATCAGTATCTATTTTAATCCAGTTCATAATATTACTAGATCCTTTTACTGTTTTTTGCCAGACAGCATGCTTATTGTACTGAGTTGATTTGGCCATACCTGTATAAATAAATTGTTAACCAGTTTTTTTAGGTGTCTATACATTTGATTTCTTGGCATTATTAATAAGGGTTTCTAAGATATTTGGTTTTATGCATTGTAGTTCCACTATGAAATCATTGTCACTATTATTATTATCCTCTTCTAGAGTAAAATCAAAATGCAGTTCTACAGGCTGATCAGGTTCAGCATCTGAAGTCTCATCTTAAATTATATGATAATAATAAGTTAACAGTACGTAGGAAGATATATTTATTATTAATTAAACCTACAAGGCTCTTTGATTTTTTTTCAGCATTTCCTAGAAGCCTCAATTAAGTGTTTTTTTAATTTATTCTTTCTTGACATTTTTTTTGCAATAAAAAAAGAATTGATATTTATTTATTTGATACTGTAAGAGGGAGAATAAAATTAATAGGTAATGTGATTCAGGTCATGTGACCGACGATCGACCTGGGAATTGCAAAGGGAGATAAAACTAAAATCACACTAAAAAGAAAAGTAACAATGATGTAATAAGTGTTTGATTATGTAATTAGTATTAGAAACAAGTAGAATTTTCTTACCTTTCACCATATTTCTACAATGTTCTAATAATTTCTATCAAAAAATGTATAAAAAGATAGTATTTAATAAAAGAGAAAAGGAGAAATGACCCAAAAGTTTAAAATAAAATATTTTTACCTTGGCCAAATCATACGCCTTACCTCTACTAATAAAGTGAAAGAGAGTAAACCAGTGGTTATGTGAATTTGACCGATTGTTAGTGACTGACTTGCCGATTCACTCCTCACAATACTAATATTTAATGCATTATTTAATTGTTCATGTAGCATAAGTAATCCTTTTTTACACAAGAAATCTAAAACCAGGTTGTAGGGTGGCCTCATATATGCACTGGCCGATCACAAATATGCATGTGGTAATCAATCAAATATATGTACCCCCAGTATGCTCAAAAAATTTAAAAAATCGAAAATATGCTCAAAAAATACTTTACAATTTTTTTTTCTTACAATTTTAAATCATATGATGTGTTTTTATTGGCTAATATTATGTTACACTGCAGGACTAAATTTCAGTGGTAACTTAGCATTTGTCGTGTTTAGACTGTGTGCACCATATTTAAAATTTTTAATTGTTATTTGCTAATGGCCCTTGCTATTACAACTTTAAATACATATATACTCTTGCTACTTTATCTAACAATTGATTTTACAGTAGCCTACCATATTATTGTAGACAATTTTTTTTTCTTAATTACTCAAAAATGAGCAAATAAATGTGGTACAATTTTTTTATCACTTATTTTATAAATATCAAAGTATATTATATTAAATTTTTACATCATTTTATTTAATTACTCAAAAGTTATGTAGGAAAGCTTGCAAAGTTACTTTTTTTTATTGAACCAGGAGTTTTTTTTTTCTTTTTTTTTTTTAAAAAATTTTTTTAATAAAAAAACCAAACTAACTACATTCTAGTATTTCGTGGGTTCCCCTTAACTCTAATGCATGCGGCGACCTGGTCAGGCATACTTGCGATCAGCTTACGACAATATTATGGTGGTATATAATACCATACTTGTTTGACAAGAATGTCAAGCTGATTGAGATTACTTGGTTTTGACTTGCGAAGTATCGATTTTTTCACTTCTGCTCAAAGATTCTCGATGGGATTGAGATCAGAACTTTGCGGTGGCCAATCTATCATACGAATCTGATTCTCTCTAATGAATTGCATAGCTATCTTAGTGGTATGTGGTCTTGCGTTATTCTGCTAAAAGAATAGGTGACAATCCTTACGACCTTGAAAATTTTCTAAGGCTAGTAAAACATACCTTTGAAGAGTATTAACATGCGATGCTCTGGTGATGATAAAATTTAATGAAATGAGGGGCCCAACACTATACCAGGAGAAGCAACCCCAATACATATGGTCTAGGTTATACTTGACAGTACTGCTTAGATACTCAATATCCCATTTTTTATGTGATTCATGCCAAGCTCGACCAGGGAAACCAAAAAAAGACAAACAGTAGTTTTATCGGACCACAAAACGTGGTGAAATCTTCTAATAAACCAATATTTATGGGCAAGACACCAGTCAAGCCTCTTCTTTGCATTTTCAAGAGAGACTAATAGTTTTGGACGGATAATGCAAGATCGCAAGTTTTTGTCATGCAAGGCAGGACGAATGATACTTTTAGAGACAGGATTTGTTTTTTCTTTTTTGGTTATTAAAAAGGTTGGTAATTTGGACTAGGTTGGGGCAGCGGTTGCTGTTGATGACCATATTCTTGAAATTGGCATGATTGATAAGGGTGAAGAGCTTCCAAAGCATCCAATTTACGAAACTTTTTTATAATATTATATACAAAAGATCTTTTGCAACTAACAGCTGCTGCAATGGCATGAATTGTGTCTTTCTTTAGATAACTATAAATTATGGCCCTTCAATTAAGTCCTTCTTGCTACTGTGATCAAAATTCATTTAATCCGTATCCGAGTGGTAGTTTTTAAAAGGAATTAGAGATTATATAGAACAGTCTGTTGTTTCAGAGATAATCTCTCACAAATATTCCAAGGTATGGCAAAGATTTTTCAATGAATCTTTGTAACCAAAATATATTTAATAAAATAATAATACTTTATTAAGACACCGAGTCAAAAATTCCAATGGTTACAGAAGTAAGTTATCAAAAACTGATTAAAAATTATATGGACGGCAGCTACTTATATAGTGTTTTCTATCCTAAGCTATCTGGACTGCCTGGGCTGTCTAGGCTGTCTGGACTGTCTGGGCTGCTTGATTTATGTGTCGTGATGTCATAATTTCATAAATCATAGGCCTTGTAGATCTTCTGAGCCTTCCGGGCTGTTTGGATCTTCTAGGCTGTCTGATCTATGTCATACATACTATAAATAGATATTTATACTATAATAAAATAATAAATCCTACTGCTAAAAATAAACTAATAATAATTTGATAAAAATAAGTAAAAATAAAACTAAGTTATCTATTCTATCACACTACCCATCATTTGAGATGATCCATCTTGCTATGACTCATCCATAAAAAAAAAAAGATCAATTTATATACTAGTGTCATTATGAATATATGCCTTTTTTGATATTCTTTAGGTGACATGAAATATTCTAGAGAAATTTGATGTGAAACTTCAAAGCGACACTAAAAAAAAAAATTTTTTAAAAAATTTTTCAAAAAAAAAAACTGATTCTATCTCAAAAAAGTAGATTGATATGTTTTTTATATAACTTTTGAATGACTAAATAAAATGATGTAAAAATTTAATATAATATAATTTGACATTTATAAAATAAGTGGTAAAAAAATTGTATTATATTTATCTGACTATTTTTGAGTAATTGGGAAAAAAAAATTGTTTACAATAATATGGTAGGCCACTATATTTTCTATAAATAAATTTTTATTTGCTGAAAAAACCTATTCTATAAATATACTTGTTATAGGTATTGTTAAATAATCATATATAATATGTGCTAATTATAAAAATTATTATTTATTTGGGTTTCTATTATTTAAAATATTTGTTTCTTTTGTTATACAGAATAATTAAAAATATAGTTATAATTCATTTGTTTTTCTACATGTCATTATTTAGATAATTTGTTTTAATTATATTATATATTTCTTTTGTATTAATTGTTTATATAAGTCTTGAATTTAATTTATTATTTTCTTGAAAAATATCATTGTTATTATAAAATTGAAAAAAAATTAATATTAAAAACTGTATCATATATAAAAATAAAAATAAATATTTGCTTTTTTTTATATCTTTTATTAAATCTTCCTAGTTATTATCTATAAAATACAACATTTTAAATCTTGAATCCAAAATAATTGCCAGCATATAAATTTTATTTAAAAAAATTTTTTTAAAAAAAATCATTAAAAAATTTTTAGAACAAATATTAAAATTTTTTTATATAATCTTTAATACAGTATATTGATTAAAAAAGTTAAGTTTTTAATTTAATTTTCTAGTTAATTCTATTTAAATAAGTTAAATAATTATTTAATAATTTATATAAACTAAGCTATATATATCTAATCTGTATCTATTTTGTATTCAATTGGATTTAAAAATTTAAAATTTGATTGTTTAAAAATTTTAAAATGCAATTTGATTTGATTTATATTTAATTTGCAGGTTGTTCAGATTCAAATAAAAATTGTAATTTCTATAACACATAAAATATTAATATTTAATTAAATTATAGCTTGTTTATTAATCTAGAATATTATAAATATTCTTTGAATAATTTTACAAAAAAAAAATCGAATATTAAAAAAATATTAATTTTAATATTATATATTTTTTAAATTTTTTTAAATTTAATATTTAAATTTATTTTTTTATATTTTTTTTATAAATTATTTATAAATTATTATTTTTTTTATAAGATAAAATATAATATACTACTTGGTTTTTATTAATAAATATCTTATTAATATACTCTGCAGTTCAAGGACTTATACAAGTCAGTACATTATATACTCTATATAAATTATTTCTTACATAACACCTTATATTCAGTTGCTTAGAAACCTATTGCCTTGAATAATTTCTTATATAATTATTGGAATAGAACCTATAGGATATAGAAATCTTATCACTAGTTTAAACTACCCAACTTATATGGTTCAACTTTGTCTAGAAGAGTCATAATTAGAAAAGTTAATTCAAGTATCTCTTTATCTTATCACCTAAATTTCAGATTGTGATAGCCTAGACTAGGGCTTTAATCATTATTGGAAATAAAACATCAATTAAATTTAATTAAAATGAAATATAAACCAGTCTGTATATTCAAATACAAAAAGAATTTTAATTAGGAAAGTTAGATATATATCTCTTAGCTTATTATACTGTTTAATTACTATAGGTATACTTCTGGTAATTATTATATTACCAACTAAATAATTATCACATCATAACACATTTTCTGGAGATCACAATCCCAATACCTATTGGATTAGTGTATGAATTGGCTTCTCATAAAAAATAGTACTTGAACAAGTTATAGTATCAGATATACATGTTGTTGAAATTCGTAGATCCTTGACACAATTAATTGAGTCACTATTAAAACATATAAATAATTGAGTCATGGCACAATTATTTTTGAGAATTTTGAAAATTGAGTCAACAGAAAATAATTTATGCCACATGTATAGTATCAGAATTCTATTCAATTACATTTATTTGAAGTTGAATTAATATCTTGTGATTTGATTTGTAAAGTATTAACCACTATACTATAAATCTACAGGTTTATAAATTATTTATTAAAGAATATTATAATTAATTGTATTTATTTAAGTAATTAATTATTTTTGTAAATTATTATATTGTATTATATTAAATTAGTTTAATATTTAATTTTGATACCTTGATTTAGTATCAGTATTGCAAAGTTTTATATTAAAAATTTTCAGTTACCAGTATTAATACTGAAAAAAAATTTTAGTATTAGTTCTATAAAATATCTTATTGAATGGTACCAATAATAACTCTAATGTTAACTTGCTTACTAATACTATAAATAGTTAATATTAAAAATAAAATTTAAATAATATTGATATCAAATATAGACCAAATAACAACTATGCTTATTTACTTAAAAAAAAAAGTTTAAAACATATAGGAAATTTGAAAAAGAAAAAATAAGTATAGAGAGACCTCCCTAAATGCATCCTCTATAAATGTACTTATTATATTTTCTCTCTCTAAATGTATGATCAAGCTTGGTCCCAAGTATATAGAACTCTTAATAAAATTATCTCTATAAATATATATCCTCTATAAATGCACATTTTTCAAAATTTTTCCTATGGTTCT